CTCACATAAGTTAAGACCTATTAAAGCTAGCCATATTCATTAGAACAGGGAATAGATGTGCACCAGTAGGCACATTTCTTTTTCTATGACTAAAGGAAAAATGTGACACATTTTTCTTTCATGTTTAACATATTTTTCTAAAGTATTTTTGTGACCTATCCTACTTTATGAAGCTTTCCTTTTTCTGTTTTTTCTTCTTTTCCCCCACTTCTATGAATAGTGTTCAGCAAGAGAATTCAAGGTTTACTTCTTTAACTGGGTTCAATGCCCTTTATGGCAAAAAGTTCATCCACTGAATGTACTATCTACAATGATGGTTTTTGGTTTCTTTGTTTTCCCTCTCAGATTCTCTTCTCTTAGCAATAAGCATACTTCAAGGCCACTCTGGCTCAAGAAATGCCCATTAAGTTTATCTTCTTAAGTAAAGGAAGCATTATTAGGAAAATACGTTATTTATTGCATTCCCAAAACCAAATTATTTTTGAAGTATGTCTACTGCTTCTCTACTATGTTTGTGTACATGATAAAAAGTTTACTATATGTGCAAAGTGAACATTTTTCTTTTTAAGCAACTAATTCATAATATAATACTCAAACATCATAGCTGCTCCTTTTCAGGAAACAGGGTTTTCATCTGCTTCTCTTTTTCATGTCTTTATCATATCATCCCATCTTCTTCTCCTACAATAAAGCTACAGCTATTACAGGTAAATCTGGCCATCATCAGATGTTCTCATAAACCTAGGAACCTAGTGTCCATGGGCCAAGTGGCATGGAGGAACAGGTACTAACATTCATAGCTCCAGGTTTTATATAAGCTGGCATAAACCTTGGCAACTTCTGCCTTCTGGACTTTTTGAAAGGGGATCATAAATGTCACACTTACAGAAACTAGCTCTCCTGTGATTGCTTTCCCTGCCACCCACTAGCAAGAATGACATATGATCTACCCACCTCTCTGTGAGAAATTCAAAATGGCTACATTTGCTTTTACTAAGAAGGTAGAGGCCTCTCTCACAGACTTCAGTAAGATCTGCCATTCTCATGTATTCAGTTTACCTTCTATGAACTAGAATGGACCCATGGTGATGATGTTAACGTATTGCTTGTTTCTCCAAATATGTAGTCGCATAAATCATAGTTACCTATTCATCAGTATCTATCCAAGATATGTATCTCACTAAGCATTTTAAAGCTGTCCCCTTCCCCAGGATATCCTTATAGCCCCAGAGGATTAATGAAAAAAATCCCCATGCTGTAATGGATTTCAAACCTATGGCTTATCATCTTATTATACTATTTATGGTCACACACAAAAAAAAACACACCGAATATTTACATTTGTGCTGTCAGTCACACTTTCCTTCTCTAGCCTTTCTACTGTCACTTCTCATCTCCAGAATTCTCTTTTACTTCCCACCAAAATATTTTTCCTTAAATTTGCTTTTATTATTCTCTGCCCCCAAAATAGACTTTTATATTTTGTAAGGGGGTTTGTGTGTGTGTGTGTGTGTGTGTGTGTGTGTTTTTTATTTTTAATGAAAATCCACCCAGTCATTTTTCTGAGTTACAGAAGATTGGATATAAATACACTTTCACAGCTTAAAAACATTTAAGACATTTTGCTCATCGCTAATCCAAAAGCATCCAAACAAAAATTTAGCATATGGTTAGACTTCTGTAAGAAATAGTCTCCTAGTTCATTTTGAAGAGGGGTAAGGAGGACATACCACTGTGAAATTTGGGGGAGTGTGGAATTCTAATCCAATATAATATACTAGTGTAGTTCTCATAAACGTAGGAATCTAGTGTCCATGGGCCAAGTGGCATGGAGGAACAGGTACTAACATTCATAGCTCCAGGTTTCATATAAGCTGGCATAAACCTTGGCAACTTCTGCCTTCTGGACTTTTTGAAAGGGGATCATAAATGTCACACTTATATACACATACATACATAAAGCAAACTTTCTTCCCAAACTGCCAAGCCAAGATATAAGGGGCAAGGGAAATTTGTTCTTAAAAGTCCCAGAGCACAGAACACTAAGATATTATTAACTACTACAGTATTCCCAACTGTGCAGATTTTGCACTTTATTTTACCCATTAAATATCTTTCTGTTTCTGTTTTAGTGAGACAGTGACTGCCACATGCCCTTTTAAAAAGAGAAATTAATTCGGTTCAACAAACTTAAATATCTACCCTGGTCTGGACACCGAGGCTAAAATGAAACCATATAGTCAGACCAGATCTGGAGTATTTTTTTCAGATTGGATTAAAACATTTTAGGAAGGACATTAATAAGCTGGAAAACATCTAGAGGAAAGCAACCAGGATGGTGAAAGGCCATGAGATAAGGCTGAATAAGGAAGTATCTCTGGAACATAAGCTGTTTAGCTTGGAGAAGAAGAGATTTGGTAGGGTGGGGAGAAAGGGAGAGAAGGGTGTGATTATAATCATTCAAGCAGCACTGTTAAGAGTACTGTATTTGGAGTCAAAGGACCTGCTTCTGCCACTGGTATGACCTTGGGCAAATGACTTCATCTCTGTGGAACTCAGTTTCCTCTCCTGTAAAATGAGTGGTTAGATAACTTCTAACATCCCTTCCAGAGCTAAACCAGTATCTCTAAGTATTTAAAGGCTGTCTCATACCTATGTGATTGGGTTTGTTCTGCACAACCCTAGAAGGCAGAACAAGGCATAGAAGATGGAAAAAGGCAGATTGTGGCTCAATGTAAAGAACTTCCTAAAAGAGCTATCCAAAAGCCCTGAGAGATGATAGGTTTCCATGCAGTGGACATCTTCAAACAGAGGCTAGATGACCACTTGTTTGATTATGTTGTAGAGAGGATTAGAAACCACTGAGTCCAATCCTCTCTACTGAACTGAACTGAACTGAAAATCTGTCATTCTGTGAAATACATATATTAAAAATTGAAATCCAGTAAAAGTTAGAGTATCTTTCATAATACTAACTCAGCAGCTAGGTAGGCATTGGATAGAGTGCTAGGCCTAGAGACAGGAAGACCTGAGTTCAAATCCAGCCTCAAACACTTAATAGCTATGTGACCCTGGGCAAGTCACTTAATCCTGTTTGCTTCAGTTTCTCATCTGTAAAATGAGCAGGAGAGGAAATGGCAAACCATTCCAGTATCTTGGCGAAGAAAACCCCAAATGGGGTCATGGAGAGTGGAACGCAACTGAAACAATTCAACAAGTGAATTTCTAGATGCTGATCTTACAAGTCTAACTATAGATGGCATGAACCAGATTTTCCAGTTTTTACTTTTTTTTTTACTCTAAACAGTTAATCACATATCTCATTGTGGGTTTAAAAATTATTTATTTCAAAATTTGAAACTTTTCAAAGCACTACATTTCAAGCTCTTTGTGTATATCACATCTTTGCCTCCCTTACAATGGCTAGCACAATGCCTTACACATTCAAAGTTTATAGCAAAACAACTGACAATTCCTTTAAATAAGTCAGTGAAAAGGATTCAGACTTCTGGTTTGCTTGAGTTAACTGGTTGATCAATTCTATGAGAAGAGTTAAATAAGTAGTACCTTTGTAAGCACAAACCAAGTACCATCTTTTTCTTTGCAATTTTATCCTACATGTAATCAGTGTATAAAGGAATATGAGTTTGAACTTGAACCTTTACAGAATTTAGAGGTAGAGTCATGAGAGTTCAAATTCAGAATTTTTGCTGTCAGCAACCTTAAATCCATCACGCATGCTCTAGTAGAAAAAGCCCTAGATACGAAGGCAAAAGACCTGGATTTGTATGTTGGCTGTATGACTTACTCCATGTGTGACCTTGGGTAGTTCAGTTCAACTAGCATCTTTGTTGTTCAGTCGTTTTCAGTCATATCTGACTCTTCGTGATTCCATTTGGGATTTTCTTGGCAAGGATACTAAAGCGGTTTGCCATTTCCTTCTCCAGTTCATTTTACAGATGAGGAAATTGAAGCAAACAGGATTAAGTGACTTGCCCAGCTAGTAAGTGTCTGAGGCCAGATTTGAACTCAAGAAGATGAGTCTTCTTGACTCCAGGCCAGGTACTCTATGCGCTATGGTGCCATCTAGCTCTCTCTAACTAACATCTAATAAGTGCCTGTTATATGCTAGGCACTGCGCTAAGACTGGCAACACAAAGACAAAAATAAAATCATTTCTAACCTTAAGGAGCTTATGTACTATTGGAAGGAGACATAGGAGTGGGAGGCATGAAAACCTCTCCAGGACTCAGTTTACTCATTTGTAAAATGAGTTAGGCTAAATGACCTCTAAAAGTCCCTTTATGCTCTACATCAATGAATCGATATGTGTAACTTTGTTTCTGGGATGCTGTGGTGAAGTACAGTGAAATCTTGGACACTGAGAGTTTATTTAAATATTAGACACATCATCACTAATGTGGGTTTTGAATGATGCCAGTGTTCCCTGATGCTTAGTAACATTTAAAGCTATTATCTCTATAGCCTCCTTTCACATGCCCAGACATTAAAAACAGGCTGTGAATTGTACTAGCAACAAGGCGAACATTTCATTACCTTTATGATCTAAAATGATTTAAGCTGATGAGCTGATCATTTAGCCATTCTGGTTATCTGTAAATTGCCTGTAAGGGACTGATCTACGGAAGTCCTTTGCACTTTTAGCTGGTCATTTGAAAATGAAGCACTGTAGCTCACTAGACTATTTTTATGCCAGAGGGAGATTGAAGAGTGTTGGATACGCCATTTCTATAAATCAAAATCTAATTGAGATATGAATAAAGTACATTTGGGGAAACCACACCAGTATTTAAGGCATGCTTTGTGTTATTACTACAGTCTTCTGATTTTATATCAAAGCATTAATCAGAATTTTTTCCCTTAAACCAAATGGGTGAACAAAAAATAAATAAAAATTGAATCAGCAAGGCTAATGTCTTTATGCCTGTTGTGATATAAACTTTGATGATCAATAATGACTGTCCTTTTTCCTCCCATAGTTGCACTCTGCTGTGACCAGGATGCAAGTACAAAGACCTGGTTTTAATTATACATTCGCTCATATATGTATCCTGAATAATGACAAGACTTGCATAGTGGATGACATAGTGCACGTCCTGGAAGAATTAAAGGCTGCTCGTGCCACAAACCGGACCAATTTTGCAATCACGTATCCCATCACTCACTTAAAAGATGGGAGGGAAGTGTATAATGGACACCAGCTGGGCGGCGTCACCGTGCACAGCAAAGATCAGGTCAAATCCGCACAAGCCGTCCAGCTCACTTATTATCTGCAAACACTCAACTCTCTAAATGACATGGTGGCAGAGAGATGGGAGTCCAACTTTTGTGATACAGTTAAACTTTTCCAGAAATCTAATAGGAAAATCAAAATGTATCCATACACATCCTCGACGCTGAGGGAAGACTTTCAGAAGACCAGCCGCGTATCTGAACGTTACCTGATCACAAGCCTGGTCCTAATGGTCACCATGGCTGTCCTCTGTTGCTCCATGCAGGACTGTGTCCGCAGCAAACCCTGGCTGGGCCTCCTTGGATTGGTCACAGTAAGCCTGGCCACACTAACTGCAGCTGGGATCATCAATCTGACTGGTGGGAAATATAATTCCACCTTCCTGGGAGTCCCCTTCGTCATGCTAGGTAATTATAGTTCTTTCTTTCTCTTTATCCTTCTCCTGTTGATTGTGAATAGGTTCTTTAAGTAATGAGAGTTGCAGAGAGAGAGAGAGAGAGAGAGAGAGAGAGAGAGAGAGAGAGAGAATGTATGTATGTGTGTTTTCATCTCAAGTCTTCTTTTCATATGAAGCAGCCTAATTTTGCTCATGTGCCCAGGATATTCCAGTTATATCGCATATTAATTATACTCAATAAGAAGTTTAGTAGAGCTCAGATTCTTATAATCTAGCCAAAGGCTCAGATTCTTAAAATCTGGCCCACTTACATTAGCAATACAAATGCTTAGATTCCTTAAGAGTCTGCCCAATATGACAGATGTTCTAAAAAACCTTGTCTGACTGAAAAAAAAATGTCTAGTAGAAGGAACCTTGAGGTAGGAGTTAGCCTTGCCCCTGTTGATTGTTTGACATTCAGAAAAATACTAAACTGTTCTATGCTTCAAGTTCCCCATTTATAAAATGAAGGGAAATAGTGTTTTCCTTTTTGACTCACAAAGTTGTTATAAAGTCAGATAACATGAGATGGTAGATGTAAAAGTGCTTTGAAAATTAAAAGTGCTAAATAAATTCAAGATGCTGTTATAATTCTGATCTTCTTATTAATCAATTCAAATTTATTATAGTGACAGTACATTCAGAGTTTATTCATTCCTGAAGGCAGCAGGTATTTCCAAGCAGAGCTCAATGATGCACTGGGATCAATTCCATTTACTCAGAAATGTGTCTGGCACTTGACCTCCACAAGAAATGGTATGATCTAGTGGAAAAGTCTTGGGCTAGCAGTCAGATGATATGGGTTTTAGTTCTGGCTACTCACTTAGCTATAGGATTACATTTCTTTACTCAGAAATCTTCAGTGACAGCCTATTTACATAGCAAATACAGTCTAAATTAGTTATCCTGGTAGTCAAGGTTCTCTACAAACTGATTCTCACCTACATTTCAAGTTTTATTTCACCCAGATTAGGCAATTCTTCATCCCTCATGCCTTTCTTGTCTACATACCTTTGCTCATGCTTTCTCCCTTGCCTTGAACTGATTTCTCCCTTACTCCCCTCCCCCTAGAGAAATACATATATCCACTTCTTAAAATTCTTCCCTGCTAGGCTTAACTTTTTCATGTAACCATCCCTGATCCTTCCCCCACTTCCTCAGCTAAAAATGATCTCCATCTAGTCAAATTTTTAAGGACATGCCTTATGCCTTTTACATGATCCTTGATTATAGTGCAAATGTCCTTAAAGGCTATCTAATGTATACTTAAGTAAGTGTCCCCTATATAACATCCCTGTAAACGAGACTGTATTTGAAGACCTTTCTTGATAGGGATTTCAGTGACTCCCAAGGCAACCCAGTCCACTTTCAGACAGCTCTAACTATGAAGAGGTTTTTCCTTATGTTGACTTGAATTCTGCATCTCTGTAACTTTTACCTACTCTTCTTCATTTTGTGCTTCAGAGTCAACCAAAATAACCAACCAAACAATCAACAAGACTTATTAAGCAGCTACTATGTGCCAGGTACTATGCTAGGCACTGTGAGTACAGAGACAAAAATGGACCAGTCCTTGCCCTCAAGTAGCTTACATTCTGTTGGATCTAATTTGTCTTACATATGACAGTCCTTCACATACTTGGAGACAGCTACCATTTCCCTCCTGGGACTTCTCTTCTCAAAATAAAGTGTTTCCAGTTCCTTCACCTGATTCTCAGATGTATTACATTTTACTCATCCCCTCTACTAGACTGTAAGTTCCTTTAAGGCAAGAACTCTGCCTTATTTCATCTTTGTATCTCCAGTACCTAGTAGAGTATTTGCACATTGTGGGAAAAGAGTGAGGGAGAAGAATGGGCTCCCATCTTATGATTTCACTGGTATAAATAACTCCCTCTCCCTATACAAATATGCATCATAACATCTTAGAGAGTTGCTTCTAGAACACAATGTCAAACATGTGGCCTATGGGCCATATACAGCCCACAGCACTCCTCAGAAAAACCCAAAACAGATTAAAATGTAATTGGGAAATATTTTAGAAAATAAATGAAAATACAACAAAACAGATAATATTAATATGTGGTTTTCTAAGTCAGTATGTGGCCCATGGGGATCTTCACATACAGCTTAGTGCTCCCTCTTTCTAGCTAAGTTTGAGCACTAGCCTAGAACACTGACGGGTTCAATGACACCTCTGATCACTTACCCCATGTATGTCAAAGGTAGAAGATGAACCCAGGTCTTCCTGATTTGAGACTAGTTCTCTATCTACCATGTAACACTTGCTTCTTGTCTTGAACATAATAGGTAATTAATATATGTTTGTGTTGGATTAATTTTGATTGGATCAGTTTAGATAATTTCTAAGGTCTAAGGTAATTTCTAAGATTCTATAGAAACATCCATATCATCAGGGTTCTTTCCAGTAATATTGTCTGATAGGAAGCTTTAGCCATCTGGTAATCAAGAAAGCGTGCTATAGGATCAAGAGTGCTCAGTGTAACTTTCCTGAGGACCTAGGATTCAGAGAGATTGTGTTTGCCTCTCCACCCCCATTTCAATACTTCCTTTGGCAAAATTAAAATGTCATTTGGAATCTCATACCATCATGATGGATTAAGCAGCATTTTTAGTAGACTGAAAAAAATCACTTCAACTTGTCTCATTAGCATGCCTTATGCCTTGTATGTAGTGGTAGCAATGGAAATTACTTTCCATTATGTATTGTGGTTCATGATAGGCGTGCTGGTGGGATTGTAAGGTACCAGAATTAGATTCTGCCTCTCACCACCACTGCCTGCAGAAGTTAGGTCTGTCTGATCACATACAGTACAATTGGAGCTTTTGCAAGGATTATTCTGATGGGGTTGAAAAGTGAAAGGATTTAGCAGATGAGTTTAACCAACACTCACACATACACATGCATGCACACACAGCCTTCCTTTCCTTCTAAATCCAATAACTACCTTGTAAAGTGGAAACAACTATCTGTCCATCAGGAGAAGTAATAGCATAACTTTAGTAATAGCATAATAGAGGAGCTCATCTATTAAATATATTTCCCAATTTTAAGTCACTTTCATAAAAATTATTGTTGTTCAGTCATTTCAGTCATATCTGACTCTTTGTGATCCCATTTGGGGTTTTCTTGGCAAAGAGGTTGGAGTGGTTTGCCATTTCCTTCTCCAGCTCATTTTACAGATGAGGAAACTGAGGCAAACAGGCTTAAGGATCACATAGCTAGGAAATATCTGAGGCTGGATTTGAACTCAGGTCTTCTTGACTCCAGGCCTGGCATCCTATCCACTGTACCACCTAGCTGAGTTTATAAGGAGTTTATAAGATGAATAAAAATAAAAGAGGGCAGTTAGTAGGAGGATGAGGGGAAAGAATAAAGTCACTCGATGAGTGCAATGGGCCCTTAAAGAATATAATTATAGGATTTGGAGCTGAAAGGGATCCTAGAGATCATGGGATCATAGAATCATAAATTTAGAGGTGGAAGAGTCCTAAAAGACCATCCAGTATTCATTTTACATATTAGGAAACAGAGGCCCAAATGTGAGAAGTGATTTGGCCAGGATTATACCAGGAGCACAGACAAGATTTTAGCCCAGTCCATCAGATTCTAAACCCATGCCTCCATAATAAGAACAAGGAATGTCAGCCCCACTTATAAAACACTTTAGGATGCAACCAGTGACTTGAAGAACAACATGACACTCCTCAAAAATTCTTTAAAAATCCTAATCTGTATAATCTTTTTAAACACTTGATCATCATGAGCTCCTTGAGGGCAACTGTCTTCTTCCTTTTTTTGTATCCCCAATGATTAGCACAGTGCCTGGCACATAGTAGGTGCTTAATAAATGTTTATTTACTGATTAGCTAATCATAATAAGGATTGCAATAGTAACAAGTATCTTTTACTTAGGATTCAAGTAGGAAGGGGAGGAATATTAAAATAAAATCAAATATTATTTGCCACAGCTTCAAACAGTTTGGGAAGCACTGAGCTGATGACTACTGTCAGACTTCCAGTCATGAGAAATCTGGCACTTGCAGTAAGGAAGGGAGCCCTGCGGGGGCCTCATACTCCCTCATTTGCAATTTGTGAAGAATGCTACATTCATTGATTTGATAGCCGTTTTCCCTGCTGAAAATCAGTGTGCAACCTTTCTGTACATTTTCCAGCCTAAGTAGATCTCAAATTACTGAGTCACAATGTGAAGCGATGTTACACGTTTTGGTAGTTTAGGCCCATTTACGATAAATACCATGCCACAATAGAATGGGTGCTTAATATGCTCATAAAGACAAACATGCCCAGATTGAAGGTGGTTCAGAGTCAGAATTTCATAGCTAAACCCATTTATTCTCAAAATGTATGTTAAAATGAAATATAAAGGATAAAGCTCTCATGTCACCTGAAACTGAACAGGCATCATTAAGCACCTACTGTGTCTTAGGAACTATAGATAGAAAGACAAAAATGAAATAGTCCTAGACTTCAGGGAGTTTACATTCTACTGAGGGTTAGGGGGTGAATAACATAGACATAGATGAGTAATACTGAATATATACCAATTCCTCAAAACTTCGAGGTTTTAATCTTACTGCTAGGGCAGCTAGGTGGTGCAGTGGATGGAGTGCTAGGCCTGTAGCTAGGAAGATGTGGCTTCAAATCCTGCCTCAGATATCTACTAGCTGTGTGACCCTGGGCAAGTCACTTAACCCTCTTTGCCTCAGTTTCCTCATATGTAAAATGAGCTGGAGAAAGAAATGGCAAAGCACTCCAGTATCTTTGCCAAGAAAACCCCAAATGGGGTCACAAAATGCCAGACATCACTGAGTAATTTATGTGAAAGTACTGTGATATACTAGATGTAACACTAGAGGGTAAACCTATTTCCTTTTTTGCTCCAGCTAGATGGAACAGTAGACATAGTGTTGTACTTGGAGTCACAA